AATCAGTTTTAAAGTAAAAATGTTTAATGTCATACAAGGTATATTTCTGGAATGTAAGCATGAACTAAGTAAGGACAGGGAGATGTCTTTCATCACCGACAGAGCATATGGTTAAAAAGTGCTTCAAAGAGGCTGAGCTTTGTGGCAAACACGGACAAAAAGCTGTGTTAACGGGAGGCTAAAATACATCTAAATCTCGTTTGTGCTCTAGGTTTGGGGGAGTGGAGAGCTGGCTCAGGGGTTAAGAACACTGCTGCTCTTGCAGAGGACCTGGATTTGGTTCCTAGAGCACAGCATGATGCTTCACAGTTGTCTGTAACTCCAGACCCAGAGCACCCAACGCTATCTTCTGGCTGCTGTGAGTACTGCATGCCTGAAATGTGCTTACAGTACACGCAGGCATAACACTTGCACATAAAATAAATAAATCTTTAGATGCCAATTTTTAATAGAATTTGACTTTTTTAAAAAAAGTATTAATTCAGAGGCCAGAAAGAGCTCAGTAGTTTAGGTATTTGGTGCCAATCCTAGTGTTCTGAGTTTGACCCCTGGAACACACACTATAGAAGGAGAGAATGCTTGAAGTGGTTCTCTGACCTTCACATGCATACTGTGGTATACATGTTTACACATACGAACATACACATAAATAAATAGAACTCTTTGAAAATGTAAAAGTATCAATCCAAATATGGCTAATTAATTAAGTAATTAATAGACAGGTTCTAGCAGTGTAGTTCAGGCTCATCTGAAATTTACAATTCAGGATAGCCTGGAACTCAAGACCCTATTTCCTTGGTCTCCCAAGTACCGTGAGTGTGGGTGTGTACCTCCTTGCCTGGCTCTATTGTGTTTCCCCCATGTAGACATGTGTGTACTTTCAAATGATTTGGAAAATGTAGACCACTAATCTCATTCTTACACTAGGGTCAACTGGAGTTTCTGTAAAAGTATCTTTTGACTTCAGCCTTAAAAACTCGAGTTTAGCTTCAGAATCCCTCACCATAAGGGAGAATTTAGACTGACAGCCTCATTTCTCAGGTAAAGTACTTTGACTTAAATTTACAGCTAAAGAAAACTGTTACAATTGTTATTTTTCCATCTATTAATTTTTAGAAACCAAAACACATGAGATATCCTTTAATCCACAAATATCTGATTATTCTTCTGAGTGCCAAGGTTTAGCATGCAGTTTCAGTTTGTACTTTATTCTTAAATCTGTACAACTTTGTGGCATACTGTGCACAATTATCTAATTGCTGGTCATGTGTGCAGCCCAGTTGTTACACTGCATCCCCTAAGAGGAAGTGTTGAAAGGTAATGATTCTGAAACAAAGTTATTGGAAACACGGGTCTCTGCAGATTTAGCCAAGCCTAGCTGAGGCTGGACCTTACTCAGTGTAACTGGTGTCCTCAAAAGCCAGGACACAGACACACAGAGGGGGATGATAGCCATAGGTAACAAAAGAGAAGCTGCCATGTGAAGATGGGAGACTAGAGTGACACGTGCACAGGGTGTCAGGGACAGTCTCCCAGCTGTCAGAAGCTAGAGAGAGGCATGGATGGATGCAGGGAGCAGGGCCCACCGTCCGGCTATCCCAGCTCTAGAACTGGGAGATGGTAAAGGAACATCTATTAAATATATTACCTCAGGACTATAGGCTGAATTTCAATCCATAACATGAAGTTTGATTTTTTATTTAAGGCAAAATTGAGATATGATCAGAAAATTTCTCTTCCTCCTACCATCCACAGAAACCTATCCTTAGAATGGCTTAAAATATATACAATGCATTGCATTACAAGCCCAAGTATATTAAATAATCTGAAGTTCTTTTAGAATTTAAGAACTAAAGATGTTACAGTAACTTCACATATTTTGCTATTGAAATGCTTAGTGTCTACTAAAGTCTATTTAAAATAAATGGTATTTTGAAATACCAAATATATTAAAATATTGACCCATACTGTGAGAATACCACGGGTTCTGCTAATGTAGTCACACCGCCACAACTTAAGGAAATGGGAAATCTCAGGTAGAGAATAGTGAGAAGACGCATGTACGTAAGTCCTTGCATTTGGGAATACATGTGTGTCTAAGTCCCTGCATTTCTAGAAACCACCTGAACTCTGTCTGCGGCTGACTTTATGGCGGAGGGATCTAGATGAAGAACACTTGAAACGGAAGACTCTCGGGTTTTATTCAGAAAACCTTTTGTCATTTTGACAGGTAAATAAATGTAAGAGACATTAAACAGTTACTTTGTGGTGTGCTACGGAGGGGACAAGCCAAGACCATTAGCAGCTCCTCTGCAGGCACAGTGCTCAACACGTGGGTTCAGCCACTCTCAGCTGAGCACCCTTAACTGAAAGGTTTGGGACACACAGGCTTCGGCAGTTTTACAAAACCAACATATGTGCAGACTTTATTGACAAAGCATCTCCAATCTAAAACTCCAGCCTGAAATCCTAACTTCGTGGGCTCCACCATGCTCAAGAAGTTTAGGATCTGAGAGCACGTTAGCACCACCTATACTCATGACACTTGAAGGAGCCCATGTCTCCGCTACTTTCCCTGTGGCACAGGGATTTTGTCACAGTCAGTCATATTCAGTCTCTGGTGTTTAGTTTCTAGATCTGTATGGATGGCCAGGGGTGAGGTACAGACGAGTCTTCTTATGCATTCCAGTCACAGCACTCTCTAGACTGTGGAAGGGTTACTGTGGCTCCTGTCCTGTGACCACAGGTAAGGCAGAGCTCCCTCAGTGGCTAGAATTGTGGCTTTGAATTTCCAACAGCTCAAAGTGGTGTAGATTTCCTCAACTCTTTTACTCCATGTACAGTCAAACTATAATGTTCTGAAATAAATCCCTTTTAATGTGTGTTCCTGTGTGTGTATTTGTGTGTGCGTGCTCGCTTGCACTTGCTCGCTCGTGCAAGCACGTACATATGCATACACGTGCGTTGGTGACTGTGTGTACACTTGTGCAGGTATGGAGGCAAGAAGTTAAACTCACTGTTCCTTAGGCGCCGCCCACTTTGTCCCCAGAGACAGGGTCCTAAGCCTGGAGCTTGCCAAGCAGGCTAGGCCACCCAGCCATCTAGCCCCAGGGACTCTTCCTGTCTCTGCCTCCTCAGCACTAGGACTACAAGGGTGCACCTCCACGTGAACATTTTACGTGGGTTGTGGGAATCGACCTCAGGTCCTCCTGTCTGCAGGGTAAATGTTTCAGCAGCTGAGCTCTCTAGTCCTGAATTTTTTCCCCCTTCTGGAACAGGCTAGAGTAAATGCTGTTACATGGGGCTGAACTGACCAAACTGGTACAATTTACATTCTTTCCTGTGAAGGACCCACCACTTCCCATCTTTTACACAAAGCACCGCCATCAACCACAAACTGGGAGCAGAACGCTGAAATGCCTACTCTTCTCAATAGGTCACCACACCCTTTCAGACTGTATCAGGAAAAGCACTGTACAGATACTTAGAGAATCGCCTAAGGATTCTGCTTCATTTTAGAGGAGTAGCCCATCACCGCCTAATTAAGAAAACACACATAAAATGCTAAAACGGAAAGCCCAGACTCACCGTTCCTTCGGGAGTCTATGAATTCGCTTATTTGCTATATATGTGGAAATTAAAGGGAGTTTCTTTTCTTACATGGAGAGAATTTATACTGAACCTTCTAGGCAAGCCAAGGGCTGTTGGCTTGGTATTCCCCTTAGCTAGGAAGCAACAAGAGGAGGGGATGAAGTTAATCCTCAGGTCAAAAACAAAGCCCAAGATTATGTCATAGAAATATCTCATGAAAAATGACTTCAACAACATGGGCAAAGCAAAACCAAACAGCATTAAACAGGCTGGATCAGTGGCCTGTAGTTCCTCGTTACCAAGCTGACTGTGGAAAGAATGGAAATCTTTGGGTTGAATTTACTCATCTTTCTTCTGTGTTTCCTTTAAAACAAACTTACTGTTTTTCTCCACCTGTACCACCCGACTCCAGGATCTCAGTCCCCATTTCTTTTCTCTTTCTCCTACCTTAACTCCTCTCTCTCTCTCTCTCTCTCTCTCTCTCTCTCTCTCTCTCTCTCTCTCTCTCTCTCTCCCTCTCCCCCTCCTCCTCTTCTTCTTCCTCCCCCCCCCAATAGAGGGAATATGCTTACCTTTTAAATTTCAATCATGATGTAAGAAAACAGGGTATCATTTTGTATCTAATCTCTTTGAACCTATTTATAAAGTTTCTGCGATATGATCCCACAATTTATCAAAACCAAGTTGGCAAATCTCAGTAAGTCTCAACAGGCATTCCTGAATTATATGCAATTTCGTTAGCAAACAAACATAGCCATTTAAAATCCAAGTAAAGCATAGAAACCAAACGTACAGAAAGAAATCTAGACCTTTGATCTGAACCTTGTGTCTAGCATGGAAAACCCTTTCTTTAAGTAGACCATCCCTTTGTTGATTGTGGCTTCGATTTCCCTCCTAAATTATAAACAATTTTACATACGTTTATTTAAATACCGGGGAAGTACTAACAGCTCAGGAAGGTAACCAAAGCATCTTAGAAGTAGAACTTTAAGCTCTGTAAACAATACTTTTAGAGTAGGCGTTTTTAGTTGTCATTGTTCACTCTAGGAACTCGGGTCCTTCCTGGTTTCCCGGTTCACTGACTATCAGTAGCTACAGGAGCTGGAGGCTGCTGTAACTTTAGCGAACTTGCTAGAGGGTGCCCGTGGGGCTTCCTAGTGCCTCGGTGTTTCTCAGAAGGCTCCGAACAAAGCCTTGGGCCCCTCGGAAGAGGGTTCCCTGGCCAGGGGCTCACTGCACCCACAGATCCCAGTTAAGAAAGGTCATTGGGACCTGAGTGTGACGGTCATGGGGATAGAGTGAGCGCGCGCGTGGGTTCTGCCCACCCTGCTCGCCCGCCGCAGGTTGCTGTCCCTGCCGTGGGGACAGCGGCGCCTTCCTGGCCGGGGCGCGGGGGTCACTGCACTTACCACCGCTAGCAGCTGCAGCAGTAGCAGCAGGGCGCACCGGCCGCCCGGGCTCCGCGCCATCGCCTGGTTCCGCCGCGCCCTCGCCTCCGGGCCTCGCCGGCGCCCCGCGGATCCTCCTGGCCAGGTTCCCTCCCGGGGCCACCCTTCTCCGCCTCTGCCCGGCCCGGGGTGCGGTTCCAGGTGTGGCCGGGTCCGAAAGGGTAGCCGTGGGCTCGGCCGCAGCCTGGATGGAGGAGGGGAATGCGCTCACTCCGCGGGGAGGTTCGAGGCAGTTCCCGCCCTCCGCACCTGGGGCCGGTGACGTCCCCCGCAGGGGACCTTGGGTGGCTGGCCCCGCCCCGTCGTGTCCCTTCCTCCTCTGGGATCACCTCGACTGGAGAGCCTTCTAGTTACTGTCCAGACCCCAAGACAGAGGATCTAAGGAGCGGGGCTCAGGGAGCCCGCGATGGAAAGGCTGCTGTGATAAAGGGCTGGTGTTGCGGGAATGAGCGCACGTGACGACTTAGGGACACTCGGGCCACGCGGCGTGGGGCCTGCTGTTGCGAGCGAGGCCTCAGTAGTGTCTTTTTAAAGGCCCCTCGCCTCTTCTCTGTGGCTCTTTTCAGCAGGTTTGTAACTTTTCTGGCTTAGCGAGGAGACAGTAGAAGACTCACAGCAGGGCCAAGAGGTGACAGGTTTTTGATCTGTCAGAGATCAGAGGTTAGAGATGTCCAAACATTGGATTACTGTACGAATAAAATTAGAAAATTTGTATGAATCTTTCAGCAGTGGCCAGCACTTAAGGACTCAGTGATAGTTGTTGAAATTAAAACACTATTTTTGCAGGAGTGAGTAAACGTTATTAAATTGAACTCTGTTATTGTTGTTGTTACTATTATTTAGACGTAGTCTCTCTTGGTAACCAAGGCCGACCTCAGACGTGAGATCCTCCTGCTTCATTGCCTAGCTCTGTGATTACAGGTGTGTTACCAGGCCTGTTTAAACGAACTCTTGAAAAGTAGACACTGAATGTGGGTGTCCAGACGCTGGAGTTAACCCAGGTTGGAAAAGTCCTTTGTTGCATGTAAAAAGAAAAATATTATGGAAAACACTCAGGTACATTTTAACATATGTGAATTAAAACTAATTAATGTTAGTTATCTGCACAAATATATTTGAAATGAACACATTATAGCATCTAAAGAAATGTGTTTTCCATAATTGTTAGCTAATGGGGGGTGATCTTTGTAAGTTTTAAATTTTACATCCTATTAACATTTCTGCTTATTTCAGGTTGATATTACAATAGTGGAAGACCCTCTGTGCCATAGAGGGCTTACAGGAAACAGGCAAGACCAATTTATCACTAAATTTAGCTCAACTAGCTGAGTTGTGTCTGAATTTCAAGCTGACACATTTTTATAATTCAGTACCATCATCATTGCTGATGTTGTTAGTCCTTTTCTCTCTGCGTCTGCTTTGAGCTGAGAAGCATATCCTCTTATTTAGAGTTTAGTCACTGGCAATCTTTCTCTGTTTTTTACATAGTAGCTGGTTGGTAAATGAACTGGGGACTAGGTTTGGCTACCTACACTGCTTGGGGTCCTCAGCAGTGGATGGACCCACTCTGCTCACTCCCATGCAGAGGGAAGATTGTCTTTTAGATTTTACTCCTTCCCTTTGAACTAGATATGGGTGCTAGCATAACCTGTTGGTAATTCCCATTCCTCAAAATGCTGGAAGAACTCCTTATTCAAGACAGCAGGATTTACCAAAGTGTGTTTGCAAACCTTCTCAGGAAGCTTTCTCTGTGTTCCGTGTAAAAGAGTGCTCTTGCCTTTGAGCCCTGAAGACACGTATTTATACTTCATTATCAAAACTGCAGGAGCTGTTTCGTAATGAAGATAATTGTAGCTTCCAGTGTAAGAAATAGCTAATAAGATTTTATTTCTGTTGAATTATTCACCAGCCTCTGGGGACCGTCAAAGTCAGCTTCAGGCAGTATTCCTTCTATAAGGCATCTGTCCCAGGACTTGAGCAAAGGTGTCAGTCAGTACCCTCACCACATGAAGCCATCAAGTTTCATCCTTGTATAATTAATTTCCACTTTACCAACTCTAAGCACAGGGATCAGCTGAAGGGACTTTCTGAGAATCAGATAATTCATATCTGCCTCTGTTGCCCCTTATTTCCTTATGCTGGAATGGGGTTAAACTTATTTAATAAATCTCTGCAAATAAAACCAAGTGTGGTCATTTCCAATGAAGCAGTGAAAATGGTTTTTTGATAAATGGAAATGTTGATAAGATGTGAACATTTTACTTTCCAGACTCCCTACCTAAAGTAGTTTAAGATTAGGATACACACATTATTTTCTTTAGATGCCTATAACACATTAATTCAAAACATATTTTGTTCAAGTAACTGTATTCAAATACATTAGAGTTGGGTTGGAGAAATGACTCAGTGGCTAAGATTGCTTGTGGTTCCTGCAGAGGACCTGCCTCTGTTTCCCAGCACCTGCATGCTGGATCACGACCATTTTTAATTCCAACTCCCAGGGGTCCATCTCAGTCTCCTGAGCCCCCTGCCCCCATTTCACTGACAGAGAAGGATTTCCCTGTCTTGATTCCACTTCTCTAGAGCAAGTGTGTTCATTCCTCACATGTCACATGCATGCCATAGCGAATGGTGGCCTTGTCACTTGGCCACCCAAGCCGGACCCAAGGTATCATCCTTAAGGTCCCGTTTTCAGGTCTTTCCATGTCCTCGGTGGTTGTAATCACAAGGAATCCCATGCCTTGTATGCAGTAGCAAGTCCTGTGATTTCATCCAGGTCAACTGCTGTACCCATTGCTCTGTCTCAAGAATGTAAGTTGCATACATGCAAGGACCATTTGATATTTGTAGTAGGCTCAGCCCTAGTCTCAGATTCATACTGGATGACTAATAAACATTTGTTGGACCAAACCTACATACCAGAAGGAATTAATTATAAATGAAAAATGAATATAATAGAGGAAAATTCATTGTGAATGAATTGATAGATCTAGTGAGGAAATGCTGGTCTGTGATTTGTGTTTCTTGTGTGTGTGTGTGTGTGTGTGTGTGTGTGTGTGTGAGAGAGAGAGAGAGAGAGAGAGAGATGAGGAAGAGAGAGAATGCATTCACATGTATATGCATGTGATTTGTGTATGTGTGTTTCCTTAGTAACCCTGCAGCCAAACAGAGATAGCAGGTGTGAGTCAGGCTGTGGAGTGTCCAGGCTGATGGTTAAGAGCTCTAAGTATCCAGTACATCTATGGAACTGAGTGTGACTGGGAGGGGAGGGAGAGGGTGAAGCTGGAAGAGTCTAGGAGCCAACTGAGAACAGAGTTCATCACCCGGAAGGTAGAGAAGTTAGACAGAATTGCCCTTTCTCTCAGTTCTGGTGAAGGAGCCATGTCCTCTGCACTGGAGGCCAAGGTGTGCATGTCAGACATTGATAGCTGGACCCTGAAGCATCTGGATTCTCTAGTTTGTTGGACAACAACCAAATGCAGGTTAAGGAGTGAGAAGAAAACACAGGCTAAGGGAATAGCCTGCAATGGCAAGCTGGGCAAGTACTGTTTGCCTTTCTGAGTTAGTATCACAGAGTGGTTTAGCCAGCAGGGTGTCCCTGTACCCTGGAGGCAGGCACAGCCCTGAGTACAGTTGAAGACACTATCATTTGAGAGGAGTGATATAGCCTACCGCAATGAGTCAGTGTCTCACTGGACAATTACCCACACCTTCTTCTGTGTGAGTCATTGCACTACCTAGGACCCATGACTGTCGGTACAGAGTCCCTGAGCTTAGATGGTTTAAGAAAATTGTTAATGTTGGTCATGAAGTAGAGAAGAAATAGAAAAAAGTGCAACAACAACAACAACAACCAAAAAAGGCAAAGAGGGGTTTGTGCAGTGGGGTGTGTGTGGAGGGGCAGAGTCTACTCTTGGGTCAGAGTAGAGTTTCCACTGTGATCCAAATGTGACCCTGTTGTTTTGAGGTGTTGAAAAAGGCCTGGGAAAGCCCAGCAAGGTGTTGGTACCCTCCCAGTCTGGCACTCCCTCCCACTGAGTCATACCGGAAAGCATTTGGCTGACCTTGACTTCCACTGAGTGTTATGAGAGCGTTATGTCACGGTGATCCATTGTCCATGGTCTGCCTGTGGCTCTGCCACCACAAACGTGGCCCCTGTGCTCCACCTCAGAGCTTCACCCTCAGTGTCCCCGTATCCTTTGAATAATTCTGTGCAAAGTTTATTTATTCATTCTTGACTTTCTTTGTTCTCATACTTTCTCTTCTTGATGAAGTCCTTCCCTGATCCATGGTTTGACAGTTGTCACTGCCCCTCCTCATGCTGCCTGTGTCATGTTTCTCCTTGGTCATCACATCCTAGCAGACTGTATGGAAAAGGGATTTATAGAGAGGAGGGGAGGTGCAGGGAGACAGTCCAGAGGGGTCAGCAGTAATGAGAGCCATTGAATGCATCCACAAAAATGAAAAAATAACCAGCTTAATAAAAAATTAAATAGGCCCACTCACTCAGTAAATATTAGGTAAATGTGCGGAAGGTGTGTGTGTGTGTGTGTGTGTGTGTGTGTGTGTGTGTGTGTGTGTGTAGTAAGGACAAAATGGGAAAGAGTAGGAGGGTATTGGCTTCCTGGATCTTATGGGTAAGCTCTCCAAATGGGGGAGGGGTTGTGATTGAACCTAGTTCCCTTTGTCAAAATTCTCTGATGTCTCCATTTTTTCAAAAATGCTTATGATACTGGAACACATAGAGGCCACCAGAGAGCATCTCTATGTCCTCCAAATATGACCCTTAATCGACATTGCCCACTTAACAAGACTTAGTATCACCATGGAAACACACCTCTGAGTGTGCATATGAGTGTTTCCAGAAAGATTTCACTGAGGAAGGAAGCCTCCCCCTGAACGTGAGCAGCACCTCTTTACAGGCTGGGGTCCTGGACTGAACTGTTACCTCTGCTCCCCTCCTGGGGACGACCGACCGTCTGGCCAGCTGCCTCACTTCCACACCTGCTGCAGTGCCTTCC